TCTATCTATCTATCATCTATGAGAGGTGAAGCAGCATCATCACCTCCAAAGTGAACTGCAGATAACCTCATGACGTGGCACACATAGTATTGAAGCCTATATAAAATTCACAGAGGATCTGCTGGTGCTTCGAGTCCCAGATCATCTGACTTCAGTCCAGATGAAGGATGAGCTTCTCAGGCGTAGACATTGTCCATCCTGCTGATGCTCCCTCGTCTCGTGGTAAACTCTTGTGCACCCTCTGGTGCTTGCTAGTCTCCCAAACTTCTTTGTGTAGAGCCTGCTTTGCAGATTGTCTTCCTTGTCTGTGTGGTTGCTCATTATTCAGAGACAGACGGATCTCAGGTCATCTGCAGCTGCAGCAAAGGAGAAGCAGGAAAGATGGCGATCATCCATTAGACCGAGCGACCGACCGGGAGCACGCATGAAATACGAGGATAACTTCTGGGAGGATCGCTTGAGGAGAACATTGTACCTGTGAGTGGTTTTGGTGCAATATAATATTTACAGTTTCGTTAAGATTGTGTCGGCTGGACTTTCAAAGGGGGGTCCGCGAGAACGTCGGTTGTGGTCGATCATGGGATATAATTTGGAGAACGCCTCGTGAAGGACCTGGGAAGAGCTGGATTTTCTCAGTCCAGGTCCAGACGAGGAAGTCGGGCGAAATTTTTTTTCATATTAGTGACTTGAACTGGAGCAGCCCAAAGTCAAGTGGGTCTTCTCGCTTCCCACTTAATATCCCAAGCGACCATTCGGGCTTCCTCGCTTTAGCAATGTCGCCTTTCGGTTTGTTGTGAGAATGACACAAGGAAATGGACGGTGGCGGAGCTAGTGGGCTCGCCTGTTTCTAGCGGCACCGAGGCGGAGGGGGGGTTGTTGTCGCCGGTCAGGAGGGGAGCTGGTGGCCGCCGCGCCGCGCGCGTGCCCTCCTCCGGCCGTTAGCTTCATGAAGAAGCCATAGCTCTCCTCCATTAGCGACAGAGGAGCTGACTTAGCCGCAGGTCCACACACACACATTGTCTTCCACACATGAAAGCCATGTCCAGTCTGAGGACCCCCCCCCCCATTCTAACATGCATTTATTTATTTTTTGAGGAACCTCATCAAGCTAGCAATTTTGTTCTCAACGTTGGAGCTAGACCCTCAAAGGTTCGTGGCATTGACACATAAACCCGCAGCTTGTTCATAGTTCTATTTAAATCACGCTTTTTTGGTTATTTCTGCTACATTCATCGTTGTGTTATTTTTTGCTGCCTGTCACACTGGTCTCCAGTCAGGTATGTCAGGAGCTCCACGGTAAAATGGAGGAAAGCAGATGAGTCTCCTAGGAGAGCCCTGGAGGAGTAAGACAGGCAGATCCCTCACGCCGGAACAAAGGTTGTGTTTCAAAAAAATAAAAAAAAAACTAGCTCGGCCACCTCTTCCTCCTCCTCCTCCTTCTGCTTCTGCCTTTACAGCTCGGGAGTTTGTCTGCTGAAGGAAGGAGAACTCCTAAAATAGTCAGCTTAGATCTTTTAGTGGACCTTTACCGAAGTGTTAGAACTCCATTGCCTTTAAAAATAAAAACAACAGTCTGCCAACTTTGCTTGGAAGACCTGCAGCTGAAACAGTCAGTGGAGAAAGATCTTGATAACTGAAGGACATGGAGATGAGATAGGAATTTTAATGCAGAATAGTGCAGTGTTTTCTACCCATGCAGGTAGTTAATGTTCAACAAAGTGGTGTCAACACACACACACACACACACACACACACACACACACACACACATCTTGTTTGTGTGTAGGTGAAGCAATGACTGTTTCTTGTAGGAAGTTCTCATGGTGGTTCTCACTTTGTTTTGAATCTGTTTTTTCTTACTTCAGTGGCTTTAAATTTCAAAATAAAAGCATTTATTTACAGCTTTTATCAGTTGAAAACCTGGTTTGTGGACATCTGGACTTCTTTATGTTAATTAAGCTTTGTGTGGAATTGATCACATGGATTCAGGTGACTTGTCCTGAAGGCATCCAGCCTTCTGGGAATGTGAAGGATACGTGAGCTGCTTCTTCTTTGAGTGTGTGTGTGGTTGTTCTCTGCTCTGCAGTTCCCCATGGCCACTGTGCGAAATCTTGCTGACAAGGAGAGTGTGAGCTTGACACACTGTGCTGCGACAATGCTGGGGCTGAGAAGAGCAATCAAAATGGTGGCGGAACTCTTTCTCCCCCGGCGTGGCAGGCAGGGCAGACAGGTTCTCAAGGAGGAGCAGATAGAGGACGACCGGGCAGGAATCTGCTGCGCTCGACACATTTCGTCTGGCAGATGGGCGCAGTTGGATCCAGTCTGTTGGATGTTGTGCAAATGAGCTCAGGGAGTTCAAACCTATAAGTGATCGGGATGTTTTGGTGGAGAAATCTCCCGATTGTCTTGGTGATACCGCAGGTTCTGTTAGCTCTTTCACCTCCGGCATTAACTTTCACAAGTCTTCAACACATTCTTTATCTGCTCCTCTATTTTTCTGCACAAGCAGGTGATTGAGATGATCCCACTGAGGGGAGGGGGTTCTGTCTGAAGCCCCTAAGGTCTGCTGGTTCTCTGTGTGTCCCTCTCTGTTGTAACCTGATGAACTGCAGATCAGCATGGGGATACACAAACCTTTTATGTATTGGGTCAAAAGCTGCTTTTTACACAGTCTGGAAACTTTTGTGTCTTAATTGTAATCTCGATCATCAGTTATTCAATAATCTGATCATCTAAGAAGATTTTGAAACGCTTATAATCGATTTGTGTTTAAAAACCAGTAAGTTACAGATGGACCTGGAGGTCTTTATCAATCAATTTTTATTCTTTGTTTATTTCATTCAAAATAAAAACAAATAAAACATATAAACAATAAGAAATACATAGCAAAAATGTAATTTGAACGAAAAGGAGCAGAATGAAGAAAAACGTCTTATAATTTCTGCCCCATTTTCCAGTAGAAATAATCAATTTATATGTAAATACCATTTGTCAGATACATACAGATTCGTTTAAAACTTTTTCCTGTTCTAAATTCCAGTGCGATCATTCATGATCATTGATTTAATTTACATTTTCATAATTATTTATTGCACTCAATTTGGTACATTTTTTGAATATATTAAATGACAAGAGTTTTTTAATTTCCCTTTTAAGGTTATTCCATAATTTAACACCATTTACAGATATATTCCACTCCTTAATTTAGCTCTAAGTCTAGGTTTTGTAAACACATCAGTTTCTTTCAGCATGTAATTACTAGTTCTCTTTTCAAATATCCCCTGAATGTTTGGTTCCAGTTAACATAAAAACCCAAAAGATGCGTTAAAAAAATCTATACCCCCGATTAGGGCTGCAACTAACGATTATTTTAATAATCGATTAATCTGTCGATTATTTTTTCGATTAATCGATTAATCGGTTTGTTATTGTTTAGCTATTTAACCTATACAAGTGATGGATGCATTTCAGTTAAGAAAAAAAAAACATAAGAGAATTGTGCAGTTGACTGCAATCTATTTTATTGCACATGAACACAGTCAGCAGTATAAAATGAGCTAAACAGTGCAAAATATCAGTCCAGAATAATTTTTTAGCATTAGCTGGAAGCCTGCTCCTTCCACCATGGATAGTGGCCTCATGTCTTTTACCAGCATGTTTAGAATAGAGTTTGTAAGTGGTATGAATTGCTGGGGGGTGAGTGTCTTGTTCCCCATGTAGTTGTCCATCGTTGCTTGCTTTTTTTCTGCATAAGAAACACAAATAGACTGAAATAAGTACACATATAAAATAAAGCAGCACACACACTACAACACTAAATCAATATTATATTATTTGAATTAATTAACAATATACAGTGATCATTTATTTTGAGGGTTACGTTCTACAAAATAGCCCGCAACAGGAGATATTCAGAAAAGTCTAATTTTTTTACTATTAAAAAGCTCTGAGTAAGGAGCTCATGAGGTTTTTACTTTGAGTCGGGAGTGTTTAAATTAGCTAGAGAAATGTGAAAAATGTTTATTTTGTGTAATGCTGTTTAAGAAACATGATAAAAATGTGTTGTGAGGCGTTTTACAGCGTTAGATAGTAAAACAGCCTTTTAATAGTAAAAAAGTGACTTTTTCTGAATTTCTCCTGTATTTAAAAATTGAAAGCGTACAACTATGCTGCGTTATATTCACCTGGACACAGCTCGTCTGTATATTTTTCACCGCGGAGTTGTCCTTTTTTGAATGAGGAACATAGTTATGGGTTTGTGCTGTTTTTCTCTTAACGAGAACATTCTTATAAACAGACGTGCTAAATTTGGCAAGCGCATGATACACAACACGGAGGAGATTCACGATTGCATCTAGTCAATCAGAAGTAGAACACCGTAGACTGACGCGGCAAAAAAACATGTTTAACATCCACTATAACAAACTCAGCTAAAACACTAAGTCCAGCTTGTGTATTTTCTGTTACTTACCGGGCTGGCTCTTCCAAATGACGGCTCACTTGACCGCGGTGCTCTTCCTCTGCTGCATCAGCCCCCACATGCTTTCGTCTCAAATGTTCACTTAGGGACGTCGTGCTTCCGTGCCATGCTAGATGGTTTTTGCATATTTTGCAGGTCACCCGTCTTTTCAAGGCATCTAGAGTGAAGTGCTCCCATACTCGTGAGGTTTTTGTCCGGGGTTTCTCTTCAGTTTTGTCGCTTCTATTTTTCTTCCGTATTTCCTCTTGTTCCGCCATCTCTCACAGCAAGATGAGCGTCAGTAACGTGATACGTCATGAAAACCGAGGGCACTCATTGGCTCATTTCTTCTTCTACGGCTCCACTGGTAGATCAGTGGCTCATTACTGCCACACACTGGCGGCAAATTTAACAGCTTGTAACCAATGTCAGATTGTGGTAAAAATAGACTTTATGCGGTAAAATATGATTATTAAACAACTAATCGATGACTAAAAAAGTTGTTAACTATTTTAATAATCAATTATAATCGATTAAATCGATTAGTTGTTTCAGCTCTACCCCCGATCAGAAGCTAGATAATTCTAGTTCATTTAGATCCAGTTCAGTATTTGACACTAGAGGTCAACTGATATTGGTTTTTCTATTGCCGATACCAATGCCGATAGGTAAAGGTCACGGTCAGCCGATGGCCGATTTGTGCTGCCGATATTTAGGGCAGATTTTCATCGATTTAGACATTTTCCACCTCATTTTCATGCTAAATGTCACTAATAACATCAGTTGATTCACATAATCTTAGAAACTGAATCTGTTTATTAAACACTTAGTTTAACCAGTTGTTAAATCTAGATTTTGTGCACTGCTCAGTCTTAAAATCAGACATCTACCTGTAGTTAATCAAACAAATTAGTAAACTGACCAAGTATCAAATATTAAAAACTGGTAAGTTATAAGATATTTTAGTTGAAAATAATAGTTTTTGAGCTTTTATTAAGCAGATGTTATTCAGGAATGTAAAAATACTTTTAAATTCAATTCTGCAGCAGCACCGGGCTGCCCAGGTGCCTGACATTTAATCAACATTGATATATAGGCTGATGTTGATATACAAAAATGGTAAATATCGGTCTACCCTATTTGACATGATACATAGTTGGGCTTATTGTGTAATATTTTGATGACTATATGTTGATACATTTTCTTTGTGCTTGAAGATCTCAGCAGCTTTTTGGGCATCGAGAATCCATCTGATTGGCCAAATGCTTCATTAGCCTGATTAGCACAACATCCCACTGTAGCTCAAGGAGTTGAGTTCTTCACAATACTGATGCACTTATAGAACATATTGAGACCTTTACCAAGTATTTCACACAGCCGTTTTTAATATCCTGTTAGAAAATCAGTTTCAGATAAAAACATAAACATCTTTATTTCCATTCATAATGAACATCAAAAAGTATTATCGGTTTTCTGTCACTGAGAAAATCTAAAGTAGAAGTCAAGAAAAGGAGAGTTCAGAGGCGAAAATATGAATTAATTTACAAAAGGAAACATTCAAGACCTAATGGTTTTGAACTCGTTAAAAACACTCCAGCTCTCAAGTGCTGCCTAATTCAAAGGCACAATCTACTCGAGTCGTCTCCATTTATGTATTTACTAACTTTCCCTTTTTAAACACTCATCAAAATTAATAATGCATCGGTATAAACACACAGTCATGTAAAAAGTAGAAATCAAACAAGCTCATAATAAATACATCATTAAATTCATACATTTTACTAAATAAAAAATATGTTTAGTACTTTTCCAAAACAAGATATGATGTTAACATTTCTGGTGATTTGTCTCACATATAAAAACAATTTACCCAAATAAGATTGAAGATGATTTGTTGTCATTGCACGTGTACTACAAAAGCTTTTGGGTAGAAATGATTTCAAAGTAAAATCAGAACAGGGAACTTGATGGAGGATCAAACAAGAGGATGGTCTGGATGTAGAGAGGAAATGGTCGCCCAGCTCATCGCTCGCCCTATTTAGCCGCCTCACATACGCCGGCTCCCCCTTCTCTCCCTTCTTCCTTACCTCCCCTCCTCCTTCACTTGCTCACACTGGGTGATGCACTTCTCCATTCTCCTCTACCTGGGGCAGTGAAGGAGGCCGGGGAGACACACAAAAGCAAATTGAAATGCTCCAGTGAGTGCTTTCTTGACATGATGCATGGCTCATGAGATGCAACCTGGCCGGCCCTGCTGCTACACTCACAAGAGCGCTGAAACACACAGACCCAAAGCTTCGGCCATCACCATGGCTCCACAGCTTCCTGCTGTCTGTTGTTCTCTGTTTCATATGACCTCAGAACTTCCTCTCTTTCTTCAGAGATTGTGTCATGGTGTGGAGGACAGCTTTAGGCTCCTTTGGAGAGCTCTGGGTTTTAAGTAGAACAAGGAAGTGGCTTGTAGAGGTGTCATTCCAGTTTCTGTTGACGGTTGCCACGTTACACTGCTGCAGAACTGGTTCCTCCTCTTTGCTTTCCACCAGAACATCGACAGCTGAACCTTTCCCCTCCTGGAAAAAAATAAAGGCTTGTAGCTTAGAGGAGCTCTCAGTAGTGTCTCCTTTCAATGCACATTTACTGAAAACATAAAACTGTTTAATTTAAAGTGGCTTTACTAATGAGATGGTTAGACTTCTGAGATCATTCAGGTGTTCTCAGTTTCCTAATTTTTACATCCTTCTGCCGTAAAGCTCCCTAAACCTCTGTAAGCCTCAAGCTGCCTGTGGTGGGGGAAAAAAAATTCTTTGGAGACGCCCGTTCCTTAGGCAGCGTGGTGCTGCCGGACAAGGCCCTCATTGAGCAGGAACAGGAGTGGTCTTGCAGACGGGAGAAGGGATCCACACCGGCTCGGCCTCTGAAACAACAGAGCTGTCCAACCACCATCAAATATTTAAGAACGTGGAAAGGAGGTCTCAGTGGTAAGTTAATATTGATGGGTCTCGTCTTTCCTTTCTTAAACCTGTTGAGTTGCCTCAAGAGGTCAGTTTGGTGGATCTTGAAGAAGAAGAAGCTCACCTCCTCACTTTTTAAATAATCGCTGCAGCGTTAAAAGGCAGATGCTTCAACGGGTTTTCTGCAAGTAGTCTAAACGTTGCACCTTGTTTCTTGTCCCTTCTCGTCTTCCTTGTTTTTCTCATGGTTGCTTTGAAATGCTCCATCCTGATGAGCTTGTAACCTCACCCACCCCCTGTAACCAAAGCAACTGCCATGTCAGGCTTACAAGGAAGTCGGCATTGCAGTGTTTTCTGGCAGTTGTCCACTGAGAACAAATTACATTAAAAACGGCCTTCTAGTCCATCTCGCTGCTCTTTATTTGGAGGAGAAGGGAGACAGTTTGGAGGAAGTAGATCTGGTTTTGACATTTGAGCCTCCAAGGAACGCTCTGGATAATATTTAGACATAATTGGACTTGCTTTGATTGAGAAGCTTTTTAGTGAGACATGGAGGGTTATATTACAGGATTGGACACATTGGGTGGAGAAGCTGACCTTGTTTGGTTTGTTCTGTTTTCTGGGATGAAGCAGATTGATTCATGTCCGGAAATGGCTGCCTAGGAGAAACGAACTTCAAGGCTACGTGTAATGCAAGGTTTCCTGGAGTAATTGTCCTCATGGAAACTAACTTCCTGGTTCTTCTGTCCGTCACTCGTCCTTGGTGATGTTCTACAAGCTCTCTCGAACAGACTCTGACGCAGCTCACATGTCTGATGCGTTTGGTTTAGTCTTGCATGTCGTCAAACATTTCTGGCCTATGTATGCCCGCTACTTAATAGAATTTCCTTCTTTTGAAGCTCAAGGGGAATATCCTCACGAGAAAACCAAATATATCCACCTTTCCTTCTCTTCTTAAATTGTAAAAATAATCACGCCTGAGGCAGTTCATTACATTTTGCACTTAATCATTTTTTGGTGGAATATTTAATGGTGTTGCTTAGGGTTGTCCTGGCTCTAATAATCCCTCACCGGGCTTTGTCCTCGCAGAAGCATTTGATCTCGTTAGGTCGCCTCTACCCTACAGAGATCTTCAGATGTTTTGGCTTTAAACAAAGCTGTGCTTCAGCTGGTGAGAGAACAACAAGCCTCAGTCAGAGGTATCAGTCTTTGCTGTGAGCCAAACCACACATCTCAGTTCTGCTTTCTGCAGCTCGCCATGACAGTCTGCAGAGGAACCGTCAGGAGGGGAAGCTGCTTGCTCAGGTCTGCGCTCTTTAAAGTTAAACACTTCCATCTGTGTAACAAGATAGCCGAGCAGCTCCACTCTGCTGAGCAGGACAGTCAAAGACCTTGAGGAGCACAAAATGGTGGATGGTCATGCTGCTGCTGACACTCCAGCGTGATTGGCTGCATCTCCTTGGCCACTGTGGGGCCAGCTGTATGAAATGGAGTCCTCTGTGTGGAGCATTGGCCCAGCCTCAGCTCGGATGCAGAAGATAATTCTGTCAGCCCCGAGAGGGAGAGACGACAGAGCAGCCAAGTGAGGTGACTATGCTAAAAGAAGGCTGAGCAGAAGACTTTCGGATTGCTGCTCAGTAGACGTTCACGCACCTCTGATCAGGATTTCTGTAGCTATTTTTATTTGCAATAGACACAACGTAGACGGAGCAGAAAAAGATCAGCTGAGATGAAAAGGTTCGTGTTTTGTGAAAGAAGCAAACAGAGAGATGTATAATAGAATTTATTATCTAACCTTCGCACCCAGGAGGCTTTAACAAAGTGATTCACCAGCCTCTTGTTTCTGCTGCTTAGTGAACATTTCATCTTCGAAGGTCACACGAATGATTCTCTGCGGACGATGCCTGAATGCAAGAGATGTAAAAGAGTGTCAGCAACAAATTTAAAGGTTTTTTTTTGGGGGGGGGGGGGGGGGGGGGGGTGAGTTTGCACCATGACAACCTGAAGACAGCAACCACACAGAAGATAGCCCTTAATGCCTGCCCTTCCTGTAATCTGCTCAGTCATTATCATCTTCAAAAGAAGCCAAATGTTGTTACTGAGGGCTCTATGTTGCACTCGTCCCCCTTTTTCAGAAGGAACAATCCGAGCCCTTTGCTGAGCACAAAGGCTACCCTTGGAGCAAGGTTACTTGCACCGGAGTGACTGGTTTTGCTCTTCTTTTTTCTCTCTTTAAGAGAAAAACATGAAATAGGTGATTTGAGTGTCTTTGGTTGAGAAAGAAATGTCCTGGTTTGTAATGATAGACTTAAAAAAAGCAAAGAGGAGTGAGTGCAATGATCTCACTGCATGGCTAATGCCAGGTAACCCAGACTCTGTTTGACTTTGCAGTACGGATGACCCAGAAGTTGAATAGAAAATGATCTCCTTCTGAACATTATATCAACTCCAGGCCATGTTGTCTGCTCTCTTGTTCTGTTTTTGATGTGAGGACCTGCCTGAAGGCCCTAGTCAGCAGAATATTTTAAGGTCCAAAGATCAAACTCCTTCTCTGCTAGTTGTCCTCCTTTACAGAGGTAACAAGTGTTCACGTGGTGCTATGCATTAACTGATCTAAAAATGAAAATGTTTGGAGCACACCAAGACATCGCGGCCTTCTCTTCTTACCTTGAATGTTTTTAGCCTGCTGTCATAAGATGTTTATTTTTCCTACGTCTTCTGAATGAGACACGAGTGGAGGTCAGGCAGGAGACAGATCAGCGAAGCTTGCAGGACTGCATTGTCTGAAAGGCTCAGCTCCTCTAAAACAAAGTGGGATCACTGAGCTGATCTCTTGGGTATTCAAAAAAACTCCCACTTTCTACAAAGTCATTCAGTGAAACGAACATAAACGTGTAGTATAAAGAGTGGGCAGATGTTTAAGTTGTAATTAGGATTGAAATTTAATTTATACAAGATGGAAATATCCAGCGATCATGTTTTTTGGCTGGAAGTGTAAAATAGTGAACAAAAACAGCAAGATTAGTTTACCGATGGCACTAATTTTAAAATGAGAGGATTTAGAGAACTCACGTTTACCTTGTTGTTGATTATAGGCAGCTTAGGGTGTCAACTGTACTAAAAGCCTGTATCTCTGACTTGCTTTCCTATGTAATTTAGTAGGGATGTGTGTTGGTGAAATTCTGGCGATACAATATGTATCACGATAAAGGGGAGATGATACGATATATCACGATATATTGCGATACATTCACCAATATTAGCAATTTTTTTATAAACTGAATTTTTGTAGGAAAATTCAATAAACAGTTCACTGATACATAACATGTTTAACATGAGGTATCTAAACCATAATAAAGGGATTTACATTTCAATGGTGGAAACAAAACCACCAAAGAAAAGAAAATACAAAAATGTTGCATGTAAATTCTTCCAAAAATTCGATAAATGACTTTTAACTATCAATATAATATCATGGGGAAAAAAATCACGATATATTGCCATATCGATTATTTCTTACATCCCTATAATTTAATAATGGCCACGTGACCAGTTCGTTCTGAGAAACGCTGCTTTAACACATCAAAAGCTTACATAGACCACCTTACATTTGCATGTTCAAGTCCACTTCAACATCTGCAATATACAAATGTTAGTGGCGGTAAGGCTAAGTGTAGAACAGCTTTTGCTCACGCTAGCCTGAGAAACTTAACATCTTTGTTAGACAAGAAGAAGACAATAAAGAAAACTGTCAGAGCACACAAGTAACATTCTAGGATCTACTGGAAATATCCAGAATAATGAATGCCCGATAGATCCATAGGTCACATGGCTGTACACAGAGTTTCTAGCTTCAGCATCATAACATTGGTGTCCTGGCCAAGTGGGCGGGGCAAACTAGTCTTTCCATTGTAGAACTTTATTATGGGGTCATATTTGATAATTTACCGCGTCTTGTGGGCCATTTAGAGCTTTAACAAAGTTTCTATATGGAGGCCCAAAGAGCAGTTAAACCCCCCCCCCAAATATATTCTTATTTATTTTGATCTATTATCTATTATTTATTTTGATAGATGGCCATCGAAAAATTTAAAGGAAAAACTTTGGAGCGAACAGCAAAGCTAAAAACATCCAAAGGCTTGTATGGTAGGAGTATTTTGAAATTATGTATTAGTTAAAAGAAAAAGAAAGAAAACATTCTTTTATATATTTTTTATATAGTTCCTTAAAGTAGGTTAAAGTGTCTATGTGTATTTTTCCTTGCAACAGGGGGCAGTACATACCTAAATCATTGAAAGCAAGTGTTATTTTTGTGTTCAAGTAAGACCTTACCAACGGATGTCCATTAGGGTCAAAATCTCTGGGAGCACAACCTCCAGCAAAATGACAAGCACATCAGACTCCCTTTCATAACTGGCAACGAGCAAAGAGGTAAATGTGTAAAACAACAATGTTAATGAATGTGTGGCAAATGGCTAATGCCAGGTAACCGTCTGCCACAGGTAAATGTTTTGTAACCATTTTTTACAAATGAGTAAATGCAGTTTGTCCTCACGGGCTCCCATAGAAAGAAACATGGCATCTAATGGCATCACCCAGAGACTTAGACTAGGGCTGGGCGATATGACGATTTTGGACCGTTTTACGATCTACACATCTGACGGTCTGTCATTTTTGAGAGACCTTTTTATCACGATTCACAGCTCTGCTGTTGAAATTCTGCCTCTGAATGAAAAGGGAACTTACCCCAGGCGAATGACACGCCTTTGTTTGACCCTTAACCAATCAGAGTGAGTCATAGTAATATATTAGTGCCCCGCTTGTTTTCACCTGTGTGTGAACAAACATGGCTTCAGCCGCGGCTGAGAGCAACAGCGAGGTTTTCGTTCCGAAGAGGAACGCCTCGTCCATTATATGAAACTGGTTTGGTTTTTCACCAGATAACAAAGAGCAGCGAAACGTCATTTACAAGGAGAGCGTCAAGGCAAGACATGGCAACACCACAAACTTGTTTAATCACTTGAAAA